GTTTCTGACTCTTACAGCAAGCTGTTTCTCCCGGATTTCTCATCTCCGTTGTTAGTTTTTTACATTTTTGTGTCTTCTCATTACTGTCCTTCAACACATGCAATCCTTGATTACATCGAATCGCAACATTAGTTAGTGATTAGTTTGCTATAATATCAACCATGGCAAGGTCAATGTTAAGGAAAGATTGTGGCTATTGCAGTAAACACTATGGTTAAGTTATGAACATGCATTTAAAACAGTTGATTCAGGGTTAAGGAAAGAAAATGCAAAGCTAATGCAATTAGCCCAAACCAACAAATATGTCCTCTCACAAATGACATGTACTTGCTTCGAAGAACATCGAAGGGAACCTCAATACGGAGAATTTTAACTGGAATAACCTTGACATGTGTTACAAATTATCTTTTACTGGCCCCTATACTTGTTTAGCTCAGTGACACAGAATGTTATTGCATTGTAGGCACAACATCTGTGATGGTCTTCTCTATTAAAGTCTGTTGTTGTGCACTCCCATCCACCACACCCTTACTTTCCACCTTTTTAAAGGACACTTCTTCCTGCGTTGGCAGTCTATTTTTACCGTACATAAATCATATGGTGATTAATCGTCCAATGTAAACATAGTTCCTAAGGATACTGGCTGTCATTTGATGCTATGCTTAGCCTTGAGTGCACACATCTCATCTAATCCTCTTTCCAAAGTTCCCTCTTCTGACTCACTTTCTCCATGACCTGTTCTTCCTAAATTATTTCCTTGCTTCCTCCTTCCTTCTCTCTCCGTATGCGCACTTCCTCCATTCTTCCTGGGTGGGAGTAGGTGACGTAGCTTTTGTTTCATCGCCACAAAGACAGCCCATGTTGCAAGGACACTGGCTTGTCGTCTTTCCCTCTTTATTTAATGGACACAAGCAATTTCCCTCTGCAAACAGCCTCTCTCTGAGTCTGTGTACAGTAAGTGTGTGTGGACACACCGATACAGGTCAGCTGGAGAGACACACAGCAGGGATCCGCCCTATTAGCAAGCTTTTACTTTCACAGGTCAAACACACAGTGTCCTCCTTACCTGTGACAGAGAGAACAAAGAGAAAGAACAACGAACATTGTCCAGCAAAGAGAAAGTGGCTCATAAAGCTCTTTCAAACACCATTGGTTACTTCGAGCTAACACACTGAAACGTTACATACACAGTGAGACACAGTGATGCATTGTGTGATGCTGAACCTGTGGAAAGCACTGGCCAGTATGGGCTTTTCCTCAGGACAGTGGAAAAAATATGGTGAAACAAGAATTTGGTTTTAGCCTGCAGTGACTTAGTGAGAATCCAGCCTGCTTTGGTTTTGCTTTTTGCTTTGACTGTTGCTGTTGCTGTTCGAGCCACAGGTAGAAATTATTTGGAAATGACAATCAACTGCAAGGAGCGCTGGTGATTAAATTAAGTCATGAATGTTTCTCCTTTTTTGGCAAGCTGCTTCAAGTTCAATATTTCACATTTATATGCGGCAATGTTTTCGCCACCAAAAGCCACAAGAGAGAATGAAAGATAGGCTATTAGGAAAGAAGCAGCTTATTAATTTTAAATAAGCACTTAATTGAAACACTTATCTTTCCTTTAAGGCCCTGTCACACTGTCCCGAAATTGACACCCGATGGACACACGATAAAGGAAATGTTCAAATTCGGCTGTGATCGTAGCAACATCGGGCCATTCGTGAGGGCATCTTAAGCCATCGTATGACCGCCGGTGGAGTTTCTCAGGCTCCGGCAGCAACTTCGTGAGCGGCAACTTCGTAAGGCACTCGTGAGGGCATCTTGTCAAATCGTGTCATCTTCGTGTTATCATCGGTGCATTCGCCCTCACTCTGATCGGGGCGAATGCCCGATGGCACCGATGATAACACGATGCCCTCACGATGGCCTTACGAAGGGAAAAATTGACACACGAATTCAACACGAAAATGAACCTTCGCAAGGTCCTTCGGCAATTTTTTGGCATGCCAAAGATTTTGCCACCGCTCACGAAGTTGCTGCCGGAGCCTGAGAAACACCACCGGCGGTCATACGATGGCTTAGATGCCCTCACGAATGGCCCGATGTTGCTACGATCACAGCCGAATTTGAACATTTCCTTTATCGTGTGTCCATCTGGTTGTTTTATTGCACAACAAAATCATGTAAATATATTATGTAAATAACCCAATTTGTGTTCTGTGAAACTAAAAAGGATATAATATATTATTTTGAAGGACAGTTGACAGGAAGTTGTTGTTGTTATGGAAACAACATTACGGAGAAAACGTAATATTTTCTACATATAAAGACGGATAAAGTAAAGAACAAAGTCTGAAGATATCAGTACAGTATCATAGTACTGTAACACAATTGTTTTTGGTACTTTCATTGCAGTTGTATGTCTTAAATGTAATGTAAATGTTGCCTTCGTGTGTGGTTCGGGGCCATCTTCGTGCGAAATTCACAATTCCATATTCGTGTGTCCATCGGGTGTCAATTTCGGGACAGTGTGACAGGGCCTTTAAGGGCTATACAATGAATTAATATCATAAATGCTGTGTGGATTAGTGCGTTGGTGTTCGGATCAGGGGAGCACAGGTTCAAACCCCAGTCAGCATGTCGTTGTGTCCCTGGGCAAGACACTTCACCCCAAATTGCTCCTGTGGGGATTGCCCACAGTATTGAGTATGTAAGTCGCTTTGGATAAAAGCGTCTAACAAGTGACATGTAATGTAATGTAATAAATATAACCGTAAACAACACTAGATATTATATTTTATAATATGGCTATGTGTTGTATTTTCCTGGATTTAAAGGGTGCATTACAGTAAAGTTATATCATTTTATGAACTAACCCTCTTCTAGTTGTTCTATGATTTGCCCTTAACAATGAGAACACGTTATGTATCCCAGGGGGAATTAGGTTTTGTGACAGCTGCATAATTTTTTAGTAAAACACATATTGATATACAAATGTGCAATACTAGAGAAAGCCTTGACGACACTGGGACATGGCCTCTTAGGCACAGGAAAGAGGCAGGGCGTGTTTCAGAAAGTGATTATATCCACGTTATTGACGATTATTTATCAAAAGCCTCATTTGTAAATATTTTTTGAATACACTCATTGTCAACCTTACAATGTAGTTGTTTCATTGACATTGAGGTATTTGATAACAGAGCAACTCAATGTGTTGGGTTAAATAATATGTTTATATAAAACATAACATATTGTTGGTATTAAAACAGGACTTTAATCATTGTTATAGTTGAACATTTCATTAAAAAAAACCTCCAAATCCAAATACACGGCAGGTTTCTGAGGTTAGGCTCATTTTCTGGCTGTCTCCCAGGCACAGCTCACCATTACATTACATTACATTTAGCTGACGCTTTTATCCAAAGCGACTTACAATAAGTACATTCGACCAGGAAGACACAACCTTGAAGAAAACAGAATCATATAAGTACATCAGGTTTCATAGAGCCAAACATTTCAAGTGCTACTCAACTGGCTTTAGATAAGCCAGTCCTTTATTAGTATAAAAGTGCTTCGTTAATAGTTCTATCGCTCGAAGTGGAGTCGAAAGAGATGAGTTTTCAGTTTGCGCCGGAAGGTGTGTAAGCTATCTGCCGTCCTGATGTCAATGGGGAGCTCATTCCACCATCTTGGAGCCAGGATAGCAAACCCACGTGTTTTTGCCGATGGGAACTTGGGTCCCCCTCGCAGCGAGGGCGCAGCGAGTCGTTTGGCTGATGCAGAGCGTAGTGCACGCGCTGGGGTGTACGGTTTAACCATGTCCTGGATGTAGGAAGGGCCAGATCCATTCGCAGCATGGTAAGCAAGTACCAGTGTCTTGAAGTGGATTCTAGCAGTTACCGGAAGCCAGTGAAGGGAGCACATTTTGAAATGTGCACTCGTGCTTCTGAGCACGCTGCACAGAGAAAGCATGGCATGAAAGAGGAGGCTGCGGGTCTCAGAGGACTTCTCTTCAAGTTTCCCTGACGGCCCCCGGGACCCCAGCCACCGTCTGATACCTCACTGCATAACTCCAACAGGCTCTCTACTGTAGCTCACTTTAAAACCTTACATTTGAGCTAAAATCATAATAATAGTAATAATGATACACTTTATTTGTATAGCACCTTTCATGCACAAAGCAGCCCAACGTGCTTTACAGAACAAGAAAAAAAACATAATTAAATAAATACAGAACAAGATAAAACATCTACAGTGATCCTAATGAAATTCCCTTGAATGAAAGCTGACAAGAAATGAAAATAGGTTAACAAAAAATAATTGAAAAAAGAACATTTAAAATGTAAAATAAAAGCAAAACAGTAAAAACATGGACAATGATACCAGTGATAAAATGTAATGTAGTAAGTTTGAAGGTCTTGCTTTACACAATGAGCTAGCTTCAGTGAGCTTTCGATTTAGGTTGCTTACTTTTTAGGGTCCCTAAGTATGCATCGATACAAAGGTGTCACTTTGTGTTGAAAAGTGGTGGGGACATACAGTAAAGACTTAGATTTTAAAAAGTTAGTAAAGTTTATATATATTTTTAAACGATCTTCAATATGCGATATGTAATTGTATTTAATTGTGTTTTGGTATGAAGTGGATAATAATGGCAGGTCTGGCAAACTGTTTATTATTTTAGGTTGTCATTTTGTCATTTTGTTTTCACAGGCCAAACTCGTTAGCAGGATACATTGATTGTTGATTTGTGTTTCTTCAGGGCGTTTTTAATTATACATAACAGTGTTTCTCTTCAGGCTTGATTGAGGGTTAATCAACAGGACAATATTGGTCTAAGATGTCCTTCATCTACACACTCAAATAAGGGAAAGGACAGTGCTAGGATCAGCCTAATCAAATAACTGTGAGGGTGCACTGTATACCCAAATGAGGAGGGGTGACCTTTTATTAAAAACATTGGAACAAATCAATCTCGTTCATTCCTCATGTTGTCCTCTACTTTCCAGGAAACAGGAGCTGCTGAACATTACCAACGTCCCTCTGGGAGAATGTCCCCCATCACCGCCCCGCACTGCACCACCCAGCATCAAGGTACACACACACACACACACCTGCACACATATGTTCGGACACACATGTGAACACACACGTTTTTTTAGATGTATATTGACTAATAGAGGTTTTCATTGAGGCGTATTGGAAAATCTATTGATTGTATCTACTGATTCTGATATCAATAAGAAACAGTGTCAAACTGCTGTGTCATGTCACCACTATTTTCACACAATGACACATGCGTAATTTAAATTAAGGTTTTTACAGGCTTTGATGTTTTTATATGTCCTTATTAATCCATGGTACAATTGTATGTTCTGTCCTCTACTTGCTGTGTATTCTGGCAGCAAATGTATGTGTACATATGTATGTAGATTCAGTGTATTAAAGTGGTAAAACACAAACTCTAATCCGCAAACACCCTACATGATATTTTGGTTTTATTTTGTCAACATATAATCCAATTTGTATGGCATATTATAATCTCATGAACAACATGCAATCATAATTGAAAATAGGGCAGCCTCTGTTCAAGCAAGATTCTTCATTATTTATTTTAAATATTGCTAAACATGGAAATGTAGACCCCATTCTTCCCAGTCTTGCAGTAAATGCTTCTCAAGGCGTCAAGTAATTTTTTCGTTTTAATATCTGCTTGAAATACTTAATATTTGTTAAGTTGCCTTTTATATGCAGGGGTAATAAAAGCCTGATAATGATATTACTTGTTTATATTCCCATATGTGCAGTTCTGGTATGACTTGCAGTCCTCTGGGTTCTTTTCTTATTGCCAATAAGAAGATGTGTTATTAAAAGGAAATTGCAATTAAATTATCCTGGGGTTAAGATTTGTTTATGACCAACCAAAGTAAGAAAAGGTTGGAAGCTTTTTTTAAAGTTGCTATGCTGAGTTCAATCAAACGGTGCCATCAAAGGTAACTTTGGCCAGAGCTGTGACTTGGCAAATTGAAAAAAAACATATCAGAGCAAAACCAAACTGAATATGAATACAAATGAAATCTGTCAGACTGCCAAGTCATCCTTCCCAGGTGTTGTCGCAATGACTCATGTAGTGACATATTATAGTGCTATACTTTTTACCTTATGTAAATTGTATGAATTGTAATTTTTTGATGTTTTTAAAAGAGTAATTACTCACACTGCATTGCATTTGTTCGTAAGAATATTTCAGGTTTTCCTCCAGCATGATAAGAGAGAGGGACCTTTTGCTGGGAGGCAGACAAGCAGGGTGATAGAGAGGAAATAGATGGCGGCTCCTGCGAGAGGAAGCCACTTTCTGCAGTATGTCACCTTGAACTAAGCCATTATTATTATTGAATCTGCTGAAGACAACACAGGGAGTTAGCACAACAAGCAGGAAAGCAACAGAAAGGCAATGTTGGCTAATGGTCACTGATTGACCCATAATGTGGTAGACAGAAAAAATACCATTTACGGTGAGAATATAAATGAAAGGATATCTGAAATGGAAGGACATCAATTTTCCTCTCGCTGTGTGGTTGACTTCTGGTAATTATTAGTCGGCAACCCACAATTTTGCTGTGAGCTGGAGTGGTCTAATGATCAGCTATTCATCATCAACGTCACACTGGTAAAGAAGTTACGATGAGCGACAATTCCTGTAATCACAGTCAACATCAAATCCATCAAAAGACCGTCCAACTTTGCCTGCATAGACCTTTTCACAGCAGACTTTTGTATCCTAAAAAGAAAGGCACATTTTCTTAATACCATTAATAGTAGCTGCGTTACACTCAGGGAAGGCTGTGATATTGTGAAATGTCTCACTGGAAAAGCTAACTGGGGCACTTAACGGAACTGAGCCATTGTTAAAGTAGCTCTAGTTTTTATTTAATGTGAAGTCATATGAACTGAAGTTAATTTTGAATTGCTTTGGAATAAAGACACCATCTGCATTTGTTCCTGTCATGACTCGCGTTTACTTTGCAATGCCTCTGGTGCGCGATCTCCCTATAAAGTTGATTGAGTGGCAATTATACTTAACAAAGTAAAGTTCCTTGGGTCTCTTATGGTTGTTTCTTGCTTTGAAAAGAAGACTGGCTGCTAGCAGTAGCCCTGTAACTAACAAGAGGGTGAAAAGAGGTGCTGCAGTACAGGCAGTATGAGAAAAATAAAGCACTTTATGATCATTAAAACATGTCACAGTAGAGTCACAGAATACTAATAAGAACCTGAAAATGAGCAAAATGGGGCCTCTTTAAAAAACATTTTCCCTGATCCTCTAATTGTTAACAAAATGTCAATAGTGTTCAAATCCTCTTGTGTGCATTTAATGTGATGACTAATGCGCTACTCATAAATACAAAGCACTCACATGTGATTGCACAGATTGCATGTCGTTGCTACGCAGCGCAGTTATTGGCATGCTCTTCTAACAAAGTGGCCATAAAGATAATTCTCCTGGAAGAC